GGAACCTGGGACACACAGATGCTCAATAAATTAATCAATTGATCAACTGACTGGTAAAAGCATCTTGAAAGAAGTGAGCTTGGGAAAAAAACAGTTAAGTCAGAGGTGAGAATGGGATGTGAAGCAAAGGGTTTGCTTGCTTTGGAGGTCAAGTAAGAGCGGTAAATGGACAAGAAGGCTGTAAAACGGAGAACAGGAGTCAGAGCCACAGATCAGCCCCCGAGCCTTACAGAGCATTTAGCCAGTTTGCATAATTTGTTTATGTGCCATCTTATTCCACAAAGAACTTGAGAAGCTAATTCAAAGTAGTTTAGAATTCATAAATATAGAGCATTCTATTATTCTTTTCTGAACCAGGTCTGAGAGAAAATTATCTAGGATAAGCAAACTTTTGAACACCAAATTATACATTTTTTCTTTTAGTGGCTGCAATTTGGTAGGGAGCTGAAAAGACGGGCACTTTTGCCCTGTAAGCTTGAGCTAATTCCATAGATTTCATAAATATATTGCTAAACACAGGAAATGCTTTTAAATATAGAAAATCATTCACACATATGTTCACACACACACACACACACACACACACACACAGTTATTGAACAACCCATGAACAGCAGTTTCTCCGTTACTATTTGCTTGTTTCACTTGTTGGGTTGTCTGCTATTACTTTGAAGTACTCAAGTAGCTGGAATTAACGTTTAAATGTTAGGAAATAACTAAGACTTGAAATTCAAATTTTGCTTAGGAAAAGACTGATATTATATGATTTTGAGTTACAGCACCCCAAACTAGCTCATAGACAAGGGAGATAATTTGAGAAAAATACATGGTTAAATCATTGAATTCCCACTGAAATTTCTTCCTCTTCTTTTTTCTTTATGGGATATTGAGAATTAACTTTTTTTAATACAATGGTGGCCATTTTCAGAGAGGTTCAGCATTGGTCCAGTTGGCAAATATCCCATATCCCCCACCTTTTAAACTTACAATTAACCATAATAAGTTCTATCTACTGAACACTGCCAAATGTCAGGTGCTCAATATAGTAATCTTATTTCATCTTCTTAACAGACTTGTGAGATATTATCATCCCCATTTTGCAAATGAGGAAGACAAATGTGCAGAAAGGTTAGATAACTTGCCTAAGGTCATGTGGCTAGTCAGTGGCCATGCTAGGAATCAAGCCTGAGTCCCTCTGAGTCTGTCACTGATCTGTTGTCACACTGCTTCTTGTTCCCAGGGAGATCAAGCCTCTGCAGTACAGGCATTTGTGCTCCAATGTAATGGCTTCCTGGATCCCACAGGATCTGTGGCTGTACTCTCACCCCTTACTCTCTGACGTTGTCTTTCCTCTTTTCTTCTCCTGACCACTGTGTTTCAACCATGTTCCTGCTTCAGGGCTCCCCCCTTTAGCTGTATCCCTCTTCCTCCAGCTTCCTCCCATGATGGTTGTGCGTCAACTTGGCTGGGCCATGATTCTCAGTGGTTTGGCAGTTATGAAATGATGTAATCACCTCCATGATGAGATCTGACATAATGTAATCACACCCACGATGAGATCTGCTATGAGCAGCCATTCAGTTGAAAGGGAGTTTCCTTGGGGCTGTGGCCTGTATCCAACATATATGGACTTTCTGGCAAAGCTTGCCAGTTTTTGCTTGCTCTGAATCCTACGTCTGGCTTGTCATCATCTGACCTCCAGTTCTTGAGACTTGAGCCATCAGCCTGCTGACTTACCTGTGGATCTTGGGTTCTTCAGCCCCTGCAGCTACATGAGTCAGGAGGAGCCACCAGCCTGCTGCTTGACTCACGGACTTCAGACTTTCCAGCCTCTACAATAGTGTGAGCTGTTTCCTTGATATAAAACTCTCTCTGTATATACATATATGCTTCGCTGCTTTTGCTTCTCTGGAGAACTCAGCCTAAGACATCCCCAGGTATGTATTTGCAAGTTTTGCTCAGATGCCACCTGTGTGAAGCATTTGTGATTACCCTAATTACAATTGCAGTCCCCTGGTACTCATCACCTTTATCCTATTTTTCTCCCTTACCATATCACTTAACACTTTCTAATATCTGTCAACTCCATGAAGGCAGGAATTTTTCTTTTTTTCTTTTTTTTCTATATTTTCAATATTTTTCTTTTTGGCTTTATTGTTAGACCTGAAATAGTGCCTGGCACAAAGCACTCAATATTTGTTGAATGAATGGAGACTCAAAACACAAACCTATTACTCACTGCTGTTATTTAAGTCCTGTAGCAAATTAATGTCCAGACTAGACCAAGTAAAGTCTAAGGGCTAGATAAAAAAATGTGGTTTCATGGAAATTACTGGTACAAATCTTTATACTTTAGGTCATATATATGTATATACACATTTAGGAGCCCTGGCGGTGCAGTGGTTAAAGCTATCAACTGCTAACTGAAAGGCTGGCAGTTTGAAACCACCAGTGGCTGCACAGGAGAAAGATGCGGCAGTCTGTTTCCACAAAGATTTACAGCCTTGGAAACCCTATGGTGTTGGAATACACTCAACGGCAGTGGGTTTGATTTTGGTTTATAGATACATTTTATACATTTAGGCTTATCCATAATTCTTGGCAATTTTTCTTTCAGCAGCTTTAAAAAGAAAATAGTTCTCTGTTATTTTGAAGTTTGAATTTCCTAACTCAACCCAAGTATTTTATGTTTTGATATATAGCTGAAGTGTTACACATAGTACATGTACTTACCTATAAAAATGTACTTTTATTAAAATATAGATTATTTCCCCATTGAACAAGGATTTTAAACAGTGCCATGGTTATGTAAAGGGATTATAGTTAATTGGGTAGAAAACACTGCTATTATTTAAGTATAAATATGTATTTTTAATATTATAAGCTAGTATGAAAACTTTGCTTGACTGTCATCCAGCTTTTCTGGTTGACTTCACTGGTTAAATTCACTAGGGAATCTACAATGTACTTGAGGTTTGAGTAATCTGTAGGCAGAATAATGAAATATGATTTACAGGGAAATACTTTTTCTTAAATAGATTTTGTGTCAGTATGGTCTAATACAATACATGCATTGCCAATTCAAATTCTTATTGTAAAGAGTATAACTATCTATACATGTATACATAAACCACTTTACTGGGACAAAGTATTACAAACAGCACATTATTTTTTTTCTTTCTTTTAGACATCAAAACTTGAGGCATTATTAAAATTCTGATAACTGGAGCATTTTTCCTTTCTGGAGAAATTATCCTAGCATTTGCCAAACTATTACCTAAGACAGAAATAAAGGTTTACGAGATTTTTTTTTTTTTAAACTATTTCCATTTGCGATTACCCTCAGGTATCCAAAAATAATTTCACTGCCACCTGCTACTAAGAGGAACACAGCCCAAGGCCTATGCTAATTAGCAATTTTTAATGGAAATGCATGCATTAAAAATCCTGGTGCACAATTACAACATGGTTGTGTGTATTTACATCTTGGGCAGTAAATACGATAAAAGATTATTCAGATTCAATGAGGAATAAAGTATTTCACATTTTGTGCAGATACTTGAAATATTTACCTTTTTAATTAAGCATTTGAACTTTTAAAATCATAATAAACAAGGTATATTGGATATAATTTATATTTTTCCTGGTATCTTGAGTCATAATTACGAACATCATTAAAAACTACACCATATATATTGTGGTGTTTGTTGCTTTTAGCATTGCTTCAACTTTCCTATTACACCAACAGTTTTATGTTAATAATCTATGATAAAGTAAAAAGCATGACTTTTGCAATATTTCCTCTGTAATTTAGTCTTGTTCATGGTTGTTCCTGTGGTTGAAGTTCTTAGAAGTCCAAGAACCAGACAGTTACTATCACACTGAAAATTAAAAACACAACTAAGTTTTCTTAATTTTTCTAAGTGCACTACTCCCTTTTATACGGTATCTTCCTGATGCTTCCAAACATATGAATTTTTCAGGTAACTGAAACATACATTTTTACTTTTGATACAAATCTTTTGAAGACTGCACTCCTGTCTTATCTGGCACAGTAGTATAAATTTAACCATTTTTTGATTCAGAGTAATCATTAAACACTATTATTACAAGTGGTAATATAACCATGCCTTTAGGCTTGGCTGTACAAAGCTATCAACTCATATACTGTATAGCCCTGATGACTACAAACTTACTGTTTCTTTGGATTCATCTGTCAGTCGGCCAGTGTACTTCTCTTGCTGTCTAATGCGTTTGCTATCCCTCCCCTCTACACACACACACACACACACACACACACACACACACACACACACGCACCCGTGCACGCACGCACACAAGGCTCTGCACGAGAACTGCAGGGCTCTCTCAAGAGGCAAAGGCAATGGCTTTTGCTTATAGACTTGTGGCCTTTATGTGCCCTCTACTGCTTCTTAGGGTCTCTGTGAAATTGAAGAATATTTAAATTATGCTTTCATTTTTAGATCTTCCTACAATTTCCTAAAATCTCCCACTTAAAAATATTTAAGCTAAAAAGTCTCTAAATCAAATTTTAATTTCCATAAATGTCAAGAGCAATGGCTACAAATTAACATTAAATTTGAACTGGTGTTCTTTGGTGGTATGTTCAGAGAAAACGATGACAAAACCTTAACACCATGGAATTATGAAGGGTTGCCAATACGTTTTCTACTGAGAAGCATTTGCTTTCCAGTGTTCATCGTGATGAAAGGGTTGATAGTTCAAACAATTTATTGCTGCTTCATACTGTACATAATTAAATGAAGAAACATGTTAAACTCAAGGGAATTTTTAATAGGTTACTTGCAATTGTTATTGCAGGCAACAACTTGTACATGATTTTATTTCCAAATCCACAAAAAACAAATTTTATACAAATCAGCACTGTAAAAATGTCAATTACAGTCCCAGAGGCTTTGCTGGCAGAATAATTGTCTAAATTCTAGGATATGGGAAACGGGTTTTTTTCTGGAATCATCTTTTTTTTTTTCCTTTTTTTTTTTTTTTTTACAAAAAAATTTACAAGTGAAATGTTGCTACAAAACTTTTTATAAGGAATTTTTGCAAAACATTTATATTTTACCATCAACTATTTCTGTTTTAAAATCATTATGTAGATTTAATACCCTATGCTGCACATCAATTTATGTGGGATGACAACTTAGTGACATGCATAAAAAAACACCACAAGGCATTAAAATGAAGACTTAAATACAAATATTGTTGCAATAAAACAGTTATAAAATTGAAAAATAGGACCTAAACATCATGCTTATCTAAGTTTGACAAATTAACTTTTTCTCCTAGATTACACACTTTTATTACTGCTCTCATGAGAGTGTGATAAATAATGACTTAACATCAAGTTCTAATGTAATCAGCAACACTTACACAAACCTAACCAAAGAAAGTATACTATAAGAAAAAACTAACACTGGAGTTCTACCATGATAAATACATAGCTTTGCACTGATAATTACAATAAAGAAAAGTTTTATAATGGTTGCAAAGGGAATGAACAGTGAAATGCCATTAAACAAGACTCTACTGCACATCTGTGCCCTATTACTTATAACAGCTATATCCCACTGAGTCAAATAAAGGACATTGAAATTTACAATTCTTATAAGACAGAAAAGTGGACTCAGAATGGTATGCAGAACGGACTGTCAAAATATTTCTAATTCCAGTGGTGAAATGTGCACCTGCTAACACAAATTAATATATTTTATATGCTATAAAGCTATCCAGATTCAGTTTGATCAATTTATAATAGGCCTCATTGTTGATTAAAAAATAACTTTCGTTTCTGATCAGCTTAGATAGGTATGCATTAAAATTGGTTCACGGGATAATGGTGCAGAGTGCTTCATACCTAGTATTAACAACAACAAAAAGTCACTCTGAGGAAACATGATTAAAACATTAAGAAAGTTTCTTAGCATAAAAAAATTTATAGCACTGATTGTGTAGCATAATGATAGATAAAATATATATTTGATGTTTCAGCTCCTATATAATAAAATTAAAATTAACACTACCAAATGCTCCTCTGTACCAAACAAAACAACAAATTGATCCTGATGTTTTAAAGCCAGGTACATCAGTTGTTAAGAGTACGTTAAATAAAATATACAAAACAATTTACAAAATCCAACTAAAATTTAAAGACTCTGTTACAAGTCTACAAAAGCTTTAAGAAACTTGAAATCTATAACCACAGTGTAAAATTTTTTTTTCCTTTAATCTCAAAGCTTTTTATACAAACTGAAAGCACAAAAGACCTTCAGTTATATATAACGCTACAAAGGGCTGGCCTAAAGTGTACATAGTGTAAACAGTGATCATTACAGTATTTCTCCTTCATCAAAAGTACACGAAACATAATAATTTTGGAAGAGAATCTGCATAAACAATATTCTATTTTTGTTTATGCAAAACTTTTTAGTACTTTTCCTGAAATAATGGAGAATGCACAGGAAAATATGGACCTATATTCACACAGTCCCCAAACTAATGATGTTAATAAACCAAGTAAGTAAAAAATTTTAGTTTTCAAATGATTAATTCAATTATGATTCAGTGTAAATACTTGTAAAAAAAAAGAAACAGCTTACTAATGTTTAAGCTATTGGTACAATCCAAATTTTTTTCATATGAAACTTTTGGCCATCCTTCCTAAGGCCCCTTCCTTTAAGACCCTTGCATAAACAATGAAATACATTTTTTTCTTTAGTCATTTATTTGACTGATATTATTCTGATTTTTTAAAAATAATTTTTGCTTCATAACAGCAAATCTATTATATAATTATCAGGCTGTTTTTTTAAATGGAAAATTCAGTTACTGACATAACATAAAGACGTTGCTGTGTTATATAAGTTCCTTATCAATCTTCTAACATAGTACAAGAAATAAACTGAAGTTGGCTGATTTTTAGTAGAGAGGAAAAAGAAAATTAAAAAGGAGTCATAAGACAATTTTCTGCTGGCCTTAAAAGAAGTGTGATAATTAATTTGATAATTCTTTCTTTGGCTACAAAGTCAAAGCTTAAAGAATTCTGCACATTGTCAACATAACTCATATTTACAGAATATGAAACTACAGAATGATTTACTCTACGCAAATATTTCCAATATAAACATTTAAAATGAATTTGTGGTTCGACCTAGGGTTAGTAATATAATCAATTCTAACTTTAAAACTTTCCATGTTAAGCTGTCTTATGTTATTTTTCTGAAGCTATTATGCGTTCTGTTTTAACCATTTTATCCAGCATTTTCCTAAGGTTTCAATCTAAAATTTAACCTAAAATGTAGTTCTAAATTCCTCGTGTCTCCAAATGGAGAAAGTAATTGGACTTCACTGATTGTCTGCATACACACTACTACAATGTAGTGGTAATAAAGATCTGAGATGCATCTCAGATAGTTTTTTGGAATTTACCTAATTCAGCTGTTGAAGAATTTCTAACATTTAGAAAAGATGGCCAAAATTGTTTTCAGTTGATTTTCCAAAAATCAGGCAAAGGAAATACAGCATTATCCCTATCATCAGTTAACTGTTCTTCTGTGCTATAGAGAAAAAGAAATACACATAAATTATTACTGACTGAATTTATAATAAAGTATTTTCAAAGAAAACAAATCTAATTAAGGTCCAGCCTGCAAACTACTGAAGTCTGTCTTTTTAAACATGTTAACACATGATATAAAGAGAGGGAAAGATTCAGATTAAAGGTTATGTGATATATTTCCAAATTACTACAACTTATAGTATGGAGGAAATACTTTTCCATTTTTTTCCAGTACATCAGTTTGCTTTTTGTAGTTTTGAAAATTCAACACTTCATGTGCTGACCCAAAAACCTGGAACACGTAAAGAAGCCAAGAATGAAAACATGATTTCCTACTCTGTAATCCACTTGACCAGCCCATTTCCAGATTTTCAAAGGTGTGTAAACTTAAGTGCAGCACTAGAGGTCTCTGTATAAATAACTTTTCAGAATTCTTCCATATTGGTTGAAACATTCGGAGTTGCTGGGTTTGAATCTTGAGAAATGGCTGCAACTGTGACAATTCTCGGGGAGCCAAGCACCTCTGTAACAGATGAGTCCAGTTCTCCCGAGGTAACAATGGCAAGAGCTGTCCCACCACCTTTCTTATTCTGGTGCGTTTTGACATGTTTTGAGAGATGATCACTCCGCATAAACCTTTTGGAACATTCCGGGCATTCAAATCGCTTTTCACCTAAACAGAAAAATAGTAACTAAAGTTATATATGTTTTCTTTAAATAAGGTTATAATTTTAAATGCCTTCTCTTCTGATTAATGCTGTACTTTTTGCTTAACTTTTGAATAATTGCAAAAAAAAAAAAAATTCTTTCCATTTTATTTAAAAACGCTATCAGAGAAGCAGTGCAGTATAGGAGAAAGAGCATGTAGTAGGGAATAAAAGACCTGAATTAAAGTCCTGGTTCTGCTAGAAACTGAAAATAAAAGCTGGAGCAAGTAAAATGTGATGCCTCTGGGCCTCAGTTTCCCTATCTACAAAATAAGAGGGTTTCTAAGAAATGATCTCAAAAATCTCTTCCAGGTGTATCAATACGTAATGTTCAAGGCTTGTGTCCCCCCTTCCTTAAAACTACTTACTGGGTTTTAGTTTTAATCCCTGGAGACACATAATATCTTAAAATTATTTAAAATAATGTAATAATTTAATAGTGTGTTGAATTTCTTCACAAGGTAAAAATGGGAGGCAGGAACAAACTACATTTCAAATTTAATAGAGCTTTTAGGTTTCATAGAATAAGACTGTCAGTTTCTGTTACATAAAGTAATCCTTAAATACACTGTCTTTAAGATACAACATTTCTAGTGGAATTAACCACTTCTATGCTTTGTAATGGAGCCCTTTTGGCAAAGGGGTTAAGAGCTCAGGCTGCTAATCAAAAGGTTGGCAGTTCGAATCCACCAGCCGCTCCTTGGAAACCCTACTGGGCAGCTCTACTCTGTCCTATAGTGTCGCTATCAGTCAGAATCAACTCGATGGCACACAACAACAACATGCTTTGTAATAAAAACTAAACGTTTTCTATGACAACTAAAAAGAAAAAAAGCCATTTCATCTTTGTGTACAATGGATGTTGTTGTTGTTAGGTACTGTCAAATTGGTTCTGACTCATAGAGACCCTATGTACAACAGAATGAAACACTGCCTGGACCTGTGCCATCCTCACAATCTTTGTTATATTTGAGCCCATTGTTGCAGCCACTGTGTCAATGCGTCTCCTTGCGGGTCTTCCCTTTCTTCGTTGATCCTCTACCAAGCATGATGTCCTTCTCCAGGGACTGGTCCCTCCTGATAACATGTCCAAAGTAAGTGAGACAAAGTCTCACCATTCTTGCTTCCAAGGAGCATTCTGGCTGTCTTCCAAGATGGACTTGTTCTTTCTTCTGGCAGTTGATGGTATAGTCAATATTCTTTGCCAACACCATAATTCAAAAGCATCAACTCTTCCACCATGCGTTTGTCAGTTCGTCGTACTGTGGTAGTGTACGTGTTGCTGTGATGCTAGAAGCTTTGCCACTGGTATTTCAAATACCAGCAGGCTCGTCCTTGGTGGACAAGTTTCAGCAGAGCTTCCAGACTAAGACAGAGTGGGAAGAAGGATCCGGCAGCCTACTTCTGAAAAAATTAGCTCTTGAAAACCATATGAATAGCAGCAGAACATTGTCTGATATAGTGCCAGAAGATGAGCCCCTCAGGTTTGAAGGCACCCAAAATACAACTGGGGAAGGGCTGCCTCCTCAAAGTAGAGCTGCCCTTACAGATGTAGATGAAGTTAAGACCTTCATTTGCTGATGTGGCACAACTCAAAATTAGAAGAAACAGCTGTAAACATCCATTAATAATCAGAACATGAAATATATAAAGTATGAATCTAGGAAAATTGGAAGTCGTCAAAAATGAAATGGAATGCGTAAGTTTTGATATCCTAGGCATTAGTGAGCTGAAATGGACCGGTATTGGCCATTTTGAATCAGACAATCATATGGTCTATTATGCTGGGAATGAAAAATTAAAGAGCAATGGAGTCACATTCATCATCAAAAAGAATATTTCAAGATCTATCGTGAAGTATCACACTGTCAGTGATAGGATAATATCCATATGCCTACCAGGAAGACCAGTTAATATGACTATTATTCAAATTTACACACCAACCACTAAGGCCGACGATGAAGAAACTGAAGATTTTTACCAACTTCTGCAGTCTGAAATTCATCAAACACGCAATCAAGATGCATTGATAATTACTGGCAATTGGAATGCAAAAGTTGGAAATGAAGAGGGATTGGTAGCTGGAAACAATGGCCGTGGTGATAGAAACGATGCTAGAGATCGCATGATAGAATTTTGCAAGACCAACGACTTCTTCATTGCAAGTATCTCTTTTCAACAACATAAATGGTGACTACACATGTGGCTCTCACCAGGTGGAATACACAGGAATCAAATCGACTATATCTGTGGAAAGAGACGATGGGAAAGCTCAATATCATCAGTCAGAACAAGGCCAGGGGCCGACTGAGAACAGACCATCGATTGCTCCTATGCAAGCTCAAGCTGAAGAAAATTAGAACAAATCCACAAGAGCCTTGAGTATATCCCACCTGAATTTAGAGACCATATCAAGAATAGATTTGACGCGCTGAATACTAATGAACGAAGACCAGAAAAGTTGTGGAATGACATCAAGGACATCAACCATGAGAAAGCAAGAGGTCATTAAAAACACAGAAAAAGACCAAAACAGATGTCAGAAGAGACTCTGAAAGTTGCCCTTGAATGTAGAGTAGCTAAAGTGAATGGAAGAAATGATGAAGCAGAAGAGCTGAACAGAAATAAGGGCAGCTCAAGAAGACAAAGTAAAGTATTATAAGGAAATGTGCAAAGACCTGGAGATAGAAAACCAAAAGCGAAGTACATGCTTGGCATTTTTTCAAGCCGAAAGAACTGAAGAAGAAGTTCAAGCCTGAAGTTGCAATATTGAAGGATTCTATGGGGAAAATATTAAATGACGCAGGAAGCATCAAAAACAGATGGAAGGAATACACCGAGTCTCTATACCAAAAAGAATTGGTTGACGTTCAACCGTTTCAGGAGGTAGCATATGATCAAGAACTGACGGTACTAAAGGAAGAAGTCCAAGCTGCACTGAAGGCACTGACGAAAAACAAGGCTCCAGGAATTGATGGAATACCAGTTGAGATGTTGCCACAAACAGATGCAGTGCTGGAGGTGCTCAATCGTCTATGCCAAGAAATGTGGAAGACAGCTACCTGGCCAACCACCTGGAAGAGATCCATATTTATACTTATTCTAAAGAAAGGTGATCCAACTGAATGTGGAAATTATGCAACAATATCATTAATATCATACACAAGTAAAATTTTGCTGAAGATCATTCAAAAGTGGTTGCAGCAGTACATTGACAGGGAACTGCCATAAATTCAAGCCGGATTCAGAAGAGGACGTGGAACCAGGGATATCATTGCTGATGTCAGATGGATCCTGACTGAAAGCAGAGAATACCAGAAAGATGTTTACCTGTGTTTTATTGAGTATGCAGAAGTATTCAACCGTGTGGATCATAACAAATTATGTATAAGATTGAGAAGAATGGGAATTCTAGAACACTTAATTGTGCTCATGAAGAACCTGTACATAGACCAAGAGGCAGTTGTTCAAACAGAACACGGGGATACTGCATGGTGTAAAGTCAAAAAAGGTGTACATCAGGGTTGTATCCTTTCACCATACTTATTCAATCTGTATGCTGAACAAATAATCTGAGAAGCTGGATTATATGAAGAAGAATGGGGTATCAGGGTTGGAGAAAGACTCATTAACAACTTGCGATATGCAAATGGAACAACCTTGCTTGCTCAGAGTGAAGAGGACTTGAAATACTTACTGGTGAACATTAAACACCACAGTCTTCAATATGGATTACATCTCAACATAAAGAAAACAAAAATCCTCACAACTGGACTAACAGGCAACACCATAATAAATAGAGAAAAGATTGAAAGTATTTAAGCTTTAAGGTAAAGTGACTTCAATTTAACGGACACTGAAACTTAGATAAGAGCAAGAAAATTATAGGCAGTTAAGAAACCATCTCAAACTCCTTTACCTTTCAAGTTTCCCATTTTATTTCAAAAGAAAAATTCTTAGTTTACAATTTTTAAAGATAGAAGAAACCTTAAAAATTCTATTCAATGTGTTCATTTTAAAGCTGGGTAGTTGAAGCTAAGAAATCAATTTGCTTGAAAATCATACAACTTAATGTCAGAGCACGATTCAAGGCATCTAACTTCTAATCTAGGAAGAAAGGCCTGGAGATCTACTTCCAAAAATCAGCCAATGAAAATCCTACAAATCACAACAGTCTGATCCAAAACCGATTAAAGAGATGGTGCAGGACCTGGCAGTGTTTTGTTGCGTTGATGAGCCAGGGGATGACTCAATGTTAGCTAACAACAGCAACATCAACTTCTAATAAGGGCTCTTTATTGCTACACCACTAGAGTGCACCTAGAAACTGCAGTTCTTTTATACCAACAACGTCCACAAATTACCAGGAAGAATTTTGGAGAGGTGTAGCCAACATGGCACTGTAGACAGAAGCACCATGTCATCCCTCTGCAGCAAAGACCTGAAAAACTAAGTAAAACAGATACAAATGTCAATCCTAGAACCCTAGGCATCAAATGAAGGGATAAAGAACTAGGTAAAGCACCAAATGGAAGAAGAAACTGACAGAGAACAGAGAATGAGGAGAGCTACGGAATGGAGGTCCCCTGCCAGCTAACACGGCACAGCTCTGCCATCTGGGAGTACAGCCAACAAGGACCCTGGATAAGGAGTACAGAAAGGCAACTTTACAGAGCTCCCAACAGAAGACAGAGTACCTGGTAACCAAAGATACTCACTTTCCTACCCCTCACCCTTCTACCTTGTATGCTGTCTCTGCTGCTTTCCAACGGGCCACAGTTGCTTGGGGGATGAAACACTGGCTCAATGATGCCCTGGGTCCGCCCTGCCCCCACTGGTCAGCTTCCTCAGTGCCATATACATATTTTTTATATATATTTTTTCTCTTTCCCTTTCTCCCTTTTCTTTCCCCCTTCCACCTAGCCCCTGTGCTGCCTCTGTCACTTCCTGATGGGCCGTGCTGCTC